GGCTGGCAGATGGAGGAAAGGAAACTTCTCTTAGCCTGTACCCTGCGAAGACCTGAACCCCACTAAGTCACCATGGCTTCTGTCCTACCCAGGATAACACACATATACTAACAAACTCTTCCTATGCCTGATGAAGGGTGTTTGTCCCCAAATGCTTGTGAAGAACAATTTTTCCAACTATTTAGTTCGTCTAATAAAAGATACCACATCTACCCAAAAAACCTTGTCTGCCTATGCCCTTAGACCAACATGGCTACAACCAACAACACTAAGTCACCGTCTCAGTCTAGGGCCTTTCACACAGTTCTGCCTATGTACATCCATCCTGTTATGTAGCACCTATTACTATTCCAGTCTCAGTGCTTTCTTGGGAGGCACAATTGTGAAGGAGCAGTCTTTTTTCAGGGTGGGGCTGAGCTTTAAGGACTGATATTGATAGGAAATAATACTTAGCATTTTACATCTTCCCAGTGCTGCACAAACCAGCTAGACGCAATGAATGCAGGTACTGTGGAAGCTTCTGAAGTGCACATGCACGCACGCGCGCGCGCACACACACACATACACACCCCATTCTGCTATGCACTTTTGCTTTTATGATCCTGTCATGTCCCTGCCCAGATCCACGAATGCACCTTGTTCCTGATCTGCTGGCCTACCTCATGCTGTTTTAATCTTGTACACTGCCCAGGTACCTCAGTCCTCATCTGCAGGACTCCCTGGAATTCTAGGTATGGAGCTCACTTGAATGGATATTGAGAGTTGTTCTGAGGATGGTAAGTTAACAAGATTTTGAAAGCAGGTCAAGCTAAGAAGCTTAATTAGCTCATTGAACCATGGGGACCTCTTCCCTCTGCCTGTGCTTTATTTACTTGAGCAACAGGTTTATTGATAAGGCAAACATGTAGTATCACTATTTGGGGATCCACAAAGCAATATGCAAGGCATTCAACCCAGAAGGGTACCTGCCTCTCAGCATTTACAGTCTAAAAGTTGTGGCCTATTGAAGGGTGGTAGACTAGGGCTCATGAGCTGCATTGTTTCCTTATTTATAGGACCCACAACTGCTTTTATTCTCTCCCCTCATTTCTTCTCCAATGAAGATTGCCAATTCTGAACCTCCCCTCTGGGCCCTGACCCCCTTCCCTCTCCTTCCATTATTGGTCCCCTCCCTCTGTGCAAATGAGCTGATTACATGCACAGTGCATAAGTGAACAAGACACTTGGAGGATTTAGCTAGTTAATTTACTGTCTAACCAAAGGCATGCACACAATTCACGTGACCTACTACCTGTCTTGTTATGTCACTGTAAGCATCTGCTTCCCCAAATCAAACATAAAAAGGCCCTGCCTGTGAGGCAGTTCAGCCAAAGAAGCAAGGAAGAGATGCAGAGCCTGTCAGGCCACATAAAGAAATCCCTTTCATTAGACGCGAGATCACTGCTCACTTCTTTGGATCTCAGCAAAGCTTCTCCACTCCCCTCATGTGTGGCTCAGGTCTTGGGTCCTATATCACAGGTGACTGAGCCCAATGAGCAGCTTGGCTGGGTGGCACTTTATTCCAGTAGATACCTAGTTACAAACAAAGAAAGAGCTAATGCCTTTGAAGTTCTTCAAGCAATTCTGATTGTGTTGCTGCACAGAAGACTCCATGCTGATTTCCAGGGCAGAGCTTTCTTTCCATCCACTCAGCCAGGTGTGATACAAACATCCCCCTGTTCTTGCACAGTCCTTACCAAAACCGCTTCCTCAGATAATAATGTCAGCAGCTATTGGAATGGGAATCTTAGCTCAAGGAAAAACCTATTTCTCCAGAATAAATAGTATTTCCCACAGGAAGCGTTTCTTGAGTACGCCACGTATGATGGCACAAGCGGATACTATGTGGGGGTCTGCGGGACAGTGGTATAGTGGGTCAAATGAAGGAGGGTCCTCCTTCATAAGGAAGAGCAAGGGAGAGGGACAGGAGAGGGGGGTCTGCGTGCTCAGATCCTGCCAGGGACATCTTCAGCTAGTGAAGAGGCTTGGAGGCTCTCCTGGCCAACTCTCCCTGTCTGAGAATCAGGGCCAGCCCGTCCTATCCTGCAGAACCTGCGACCGCAGGGGGCCCTGCAGCCAAGGGGCCGTGCCCCGCTCGCCCCCCACCACCTGCGACACGTTTAAAGGGCTCAATGCAGGCAGGGAGCCCGTTTCTGGCCAAGCGAGGGAGAAGTTCCTGGCTCTGCTCCCACCGGCTCTGCGGAGGAAACCCAGGCATCCCCAGCACGTGCTGTCCCCACCCTGCACCCACCCACAGCACAGCCCACGTGTGTGCAGCCTGACCCCAGCTATTTTATTTCAGTGAGTTTATAACACATTTAACTGCAACTTTGATTTTTAATGGATCAGGGGCCCCCAAAACTATATGTTGCAGGGGGCCCAAAAAATTGTGGCCTGGCCCTGCTGAGTATTGGGTAGGACTCTGATGACAGGCAAAAGTGTGATAGGTGGGGGGAGGGGGTGAAAGGGAGGCCTGCTCCTGGTTACAGCAAGGATTTCGAGAACATACCGACTAGGGCAGAAGAATTGGGAAATGAACAGGCAGATACAGACTTTGTCTTCTCAATTTGCAAACTTGATGCATTGCATGTAACAAGCCCTGGCACATTTCAGCCAGCAGATGGCAGGCGGGACATCCCATTCTGCCAGCAGGATCAAGCCCAGCAAACCCTGCCCAATGGAGCTATTTCTCCCTTCTCTCCCTTTTCATCACAGTTCTCCTTCTCCAACCCAGCCCTGCCTTAATGAAACTCCTCCAGCTGCATCTGGAAGAGGCTCCTGCTGACAAACTTGCCTAAGAGGAGGTGAGCACTAGGTGGGGTTCATCCTGGGCACATTGTAGGATCAATAGCTAATGGGAACTGCGGGAAGAGGGAGTAGCTGCTTCTTTTGATAAGCAAGCTCTGTGCATGCACCCCCCCCCCCCAATTGCTGTGGTCCACACCCCCCTAGAGCTATAAGAAGAGCTTTAGCTGGAATTGGTCTGCATTGCATGACAGCCCTCTCCATAGGACTCAGCAGCCCTGAGCAGGAGTCAGTCATCTGCCTGGTCTGTGTGCTTCACACTGTGGATCTGTTGCTGGGAAGAGGAGAGAGAGAGAGAGAAGAACACCCTACCCTGGTTTATTGCTAGGCTCCCTGCTTCTTGCTTCTTCCTTCCCCCCCACCCTTGACCTTATTATTAAGAGCAAAGGCAGGAGCCTGAGGAGGCAGTAGAGTGGGATCAAGGAGACACCTTGGCATGAATTAGATGGCAATCACGGGGAAATATTCTTCTTAAGGAAAGAAGAGAAAACCCACTCCCATCGCAAGGAAGAAGGCAGAGAAGGAGGCTTTAAAGAGCAGGTTTGCTCTCTTTGTTGAATGAGAAGGACAGAGCAGGATCAGCAGCATGAGCACTAGCAGTAAGTACGGCTCTGCCTTTCCTTTGCTATGGGAACAGGGGCTTATTTTGCATGGGGTCGGCCTGGGAGGGAGAGGAAGGGAAATGTCACATCAGGGTGGACAAACCTAGTGGGCTAGATTTTTTCCTCTTCTTCCTTCTTGACAAGCCATGACTTCCTCAGTCCCTTTATTTTGTATGGAGAGATACACAGCTAGAACCACTAAGGGGCTAGATCCTTGTGTCACAGCTGTGCATGGAATGCATTGTCTTTCTGCAACATGGTTTAAAAGCTCTGTGCACACACATGCCTTCTGAGCTGTAGACTCAGTTGCTAGTGCCACCGCCTATGTACAGATAGAAATGGATATAATATAGCTAAGGGGAGGGCAGAGTTTGATAAGAATGGAGAGAGATGAGGGAATGATATAATCAAGCCTGGTGTGTGTGATACACAGAAGCAAGCATCCCCTCCCTGATCCAGGTTAGCAGGTATCTCTTTGTACGTGTGTCAGAGAGACATAGACAGCGACACACGCTACATATGAATTGCCAAATAAGCAGAGCAGAGCTAGTAAATGTGCTGCATAAGATCAGTACAGGCACCTACTGCCAGTCAGGATGGTGCCCTCCTTTGTGGTTCAGTTGCAGATTCTTGTGAGGTGAATTGGTGCCTTCAAGTTCCTCTCCATTTCTGTTCCATGTTGTTGTTGTTAGGATGTACCTCATTAGCGGGACTTTAGCCTTTTTCATTAAAAATGCCCCCAAATCTGTCGCCCACCTCAACAAATCAGCATTAGCCACCGACCAAGGATGTGTCTCCAGTGGCAACCTGGCTAGCGTGGGTTCCAAAGGTTTCACGCGTGGCGGAGAACTCCCATTCACAGACTGGAGCGTCCTGACTTCCATGCCCCATCCAGCACTGGTCATCTTGATATAAGGTGTTGGCTGTGGCTTTCAGGCAAAATGCAAGGCATAATTCCTTGGCCTGCTGCAGCCAACAGAACAGGTGATTCCAGATTTGTTGGGCTGTGTCATAGGCAAGTAAACTTTCCAGGTGCCCACCACATGAGCCACACCTGGTACGTGCATTGCCAACACACTATTGGGGTGGGAGGGGTGTATGGGGGGATGCTCTTATAGGAAACAATAAGGATCAAATCCTTCCTCATTCACTGGATGGATGGAGGATTACACTCCAGGGCTTTGCTGGAAAGAAACTCCAGGGCTGGTACACAAATGGCCTGGAGGGGCTGGGACTCTGCTTAGTGCCTGCTGGACTTGCGTGATCAGCTGAGAGCACAAAGGGCTTGATTCAAGCAGGGGAGAATGGGAAGGGATTTTGTCGTTAAAGGAGTCTTGACAAATACATAGCAATTCCTCCTGGTTATTTGCTTCCAGCTTTTAATAACCGGCTTGGGCGCTGATAATTACTGTTTGTAGAACCCGCTCTTCATAAATATCTGATTGCGCTGCTAAGCCCCCACGTGTGCAGAGGTGCCAGCCAAACCCAAATACGATAATTAGCACCTCAACTCTTTGTGAAAGCCATATAACACATGGGAGGCAAAGGCGGGGCAGCATGGCCAGTGGGTGAGAGCACAGAGACCTGGGATATACTTTGATCTTGCCACTGCCACCCTGTGTGACCTTGGGCACGTTATCCGCTATGTTTCTGGTTACCGTTTTCAGACTACAAAGCTGGGGACAAGGATATGTATTGACCTGTGTCAAGTGCTTGTGATCCTTGGATGAAAGGTACCATGTGCTGCTGGTATTGCTGTAATAGACATACAAGTATTACAGCAGTACTCTGATTCATAACAGTTTGAAAACTAACACTTGCTATTCATTTGCTATTTGCACCAAAGAGTTTGGTGCCCTTGGTGTGGGTAAAAAAGAGGGTGCTCCTTGCCTCTCTTTTTTTTTTTAGTGAATCTGTTACCATGGGTTTTATTATCATTCACTCTGGTAGCAGCCAGAAGTCACCACTGAGATCAGGTTGTCTTTGTACTTGCGCTAGGTGCTGTACAATCACAGAGTAAGAGACAGTCCGTGCCCCCACAGAGCTTACAGTGTAATATTGACCTTACAGCTAGGTATGGGACTGAAAGGCCTGGGGACATGCACAGGTCTATTAAACTGGTGTGTGCAAGGCTTGAGAAGATGGGGGCTTAGTTCAAAAGGCAGAGTTGGCTTCCCCTTTGATTTAGTTTAATAAGTAAGAGGAGAGGGCAGAAGAGGAGGCCATTCCTCTGGGTAGATTATTCCTATCTCACATACACCTGGAGGTGCATATGACTGAGTGCAAGGTGAGGGCTGTAATGCAGAAGACAATATTGCTCTTTAGGCTACGCTGTAAGCAGCCATGTGAATGCTCACCACGGCCAAAGAGTCCAAAGCCACACAACCTGCTGCAGGAGAGGCAGGAACCTTGTACCTTGCTGGGCCTTCCAGACTGTTTTAGTTTAACTCTGAAAGTGCTGCCCCACCATGACCCACCATGCTTCTGGCCATGACCATGGGAAAGGACCCCATCGACTAAACGCTGCCCATTCAGAGGGCTAAAGTTGTGCCATGCTTGGGACATCCCTGGAACAACCTCCAGCCACCTGCACACCAAATCCCAGCTACATGGCCTGGATTCAGTGGTTGTGGGGTGGGAGCAAGTGGGCACAATGTGCTTCCTGACAGCAGTCCTGAGCACCACCACAGAGAGGCCTCAGCACCACCTGTTAGCTGGAGAGAGGAGGGGCTGGTGAGGCGTGCTGCCTCTTGGGCCTCACTTACACATTTGGCCTTCAGTTCCCTTCAGCAGTGTTGCCAGAGGTGAAGGTGGCTCAGATGTGCTGGCACCCTGCTCCTGTGCTCATGTCCTGCTGGGAAGAACCAAAGTCTGGGAACCAAGCTGGTCCACTCACACAAGAAGCAGCTGTTGCCCATAACAGGGAACTGAACTTCCATGTGGTACAGAGCAAGGCAAAGCCTTTCCAGCCCAGGGCCTGTGAGATCAGGATGAGGCACCACATCAGGGTCTTTCCTTTGGCAAGACAGAGTAAGGATGCAGATCAGGAGACAGCAGGTCAGAACCGTAGCTGATTCAACTTGTGGCAGTGAAAGCAGCTGAGGATTTGGCCCAGAGAATCCCATTCATTCCTGTGCTGTGCTGTACAATGACATTGAGATCCTACCTGACACTGACAGGAGGCAGGAAATTCGGAGTCCAGGGCAGTCATCCTGTTGGGTCTGACTAATGTAGAGGTCTCCAGGAGGTCAGCACAGGGTGTTCTGTGCTCTGTGCCTGCCTTTGGCCTTAGCCTTCTCCGTGCATCGCCTTGCTTAGCTCATGGAATCGCACATGGGCTTCTCAAAATCGTGGGTAATCATGGGGTGTAGCCCTCAAAGGGCACTTCTGGGGCAATGAGTCCAGGCCTCTGCATTCTCAGGCAACCTGCAAATCTTCACATGCCACTAATATCCAAAACACCAAGAACACCCCACGACATGCCATAGGGAAAAGGGGGAATTTGCTGAATGAAGCCTGTTTTAAGAGGCACCGTATGTGCCGCCCTCCACTGCCGCCACAGGCAAGAGATTCAAGAGATGCAGGGATTTGAGCTAAGAGGATGCTGTGGCATGGGGAAAAAAGGGTCCTTGTCTGTTTTGGCAGGCTGGGTTCACAAGGAAAGTTCAGAGGACCAGAGCAAGGACTGCAGGCTAGATACTTATATTTGTTAAGCTATTTATGCCTCTCCCTATGTTAGCACTGCTAATTGGTTATAAATGGATTCATAAGGTTATAAATAGGTACGTCAGTGCCTCTCTGTGTTCCTACTGAAGCTGGATCCTTTGATGCAAACCCTTGCCAAAAAGGACATGCTGTGTACCAGTTCTAAAATTTCTCCAACTAGAGATACTGATTAGCCATGCTTCCTCCTGGGGCTATGTATGTGGAAAGGAGCCACTGCTCACCCCTGTATATAGCCACACTGCAAATGAAGCAGTGATTGCATCCATAGTTTTTCCACTTGCTGTAAGGATTCTTACTTGGAGTAAGGGCTGAAGTTGTCCAGCTGTCCAGGGGAGTTTAGATGCATGGCTTCTGTTGAAATTCATGGAAGTTGTGTATCCTGTTCCTTAAGGCAGCATAGAAAATAGGAACTGGATTTTAGCATTTCAAGAAGAATGTGGTTGAGTTAAAATTCTTATAATCTCTTTCTGGACAGCTCTCAGGGAGTGAGACTAAATCCCATCCCAGGGGACCACTGAACATTTTGCTATTTACTTCAGTGGGCACAGGTTTTGGCCCTTCCATCTTGTCAGGGATTCCTCATCAGCAGTGAAGCCCTGTTTTCATAGCTCTGTGCTATATCCCCCAAGGCCATTGAAGAGTCCCAGGTGAGTTTTCTTGGTCTTGTGGAGATAGTGGCCTTGGAATGATGGAAAAAAACAGCATTATGAGATGAAAATCTTGCAATATCTTGCTCCAGATAATTATTGGCAATTACAGATTCCTATTTTGTCAGCTCTAACACAAGCCATTAGTTCATTACAACACATCATTGTAAGTTGCCCTCATTTTGAATAGAGACACAAGCGTAGGGTGACCATACATCCTGGTTTGGCTGGGACAGTCCTGGATTTCATAGGCTGTCTCGACCAGCTGGTGAAAAAGAAACCAAAGTCCCAGATTGGCGCCACTCTGCCCACACTGCCTGGCCTGGCTCCTCCTGAGCAGTGGCTGGAGGTGGGGGCAGGCTTGCCTGGGCATCACTCCTGCCTGGGACAGGGATTGGGGGGGGCAGTGTCCCAGATTTCTTGAAAATAATATGATCACCCTACAGGAGTGATAATCCTCCCAGAGAAGAGTAAATCCAAGCCAGGGCCAGTGGTGCATATGAAAACCATTTCACCTTACTCTGAACCTGGACAGCAGGAGTGAAGGAACAGTCGGTGCTTCAGAGGTTAGAACAGAGATCCAGGAGGGACTAATCCAGGCTAAGCCACTGACTCACAGCAGAC